CCCATAGTTTAGGGTCCTTAAGATACTGCAGGATTTCGATCATAAACAATGGTTTTTATGTTTATGTAGAAGCACTCTGGTACCCTGGAAAGGGGACCCTCAACATCATAGAGTTCATGGTGCTCAGGGGTGAGTTTTTCTGCGGACTTATCCGAGACCGACAACCCTAAGGCCCTAAGGCCAACAAGCCCTAAATCCAAGGGTTTAGGGTTTAGGGTCTAGGGTTTAGGGTTTAGATCCAAGACTTAACCCAAAACCCCTAAACCCATGCTCTCACGAGGAGGACGTTGAGGAAAGTAGTGTCCCGGCTGTATAAACGATTCTTCTTGGCTCTGAATCCCTGGCATCTGGTTGATGATCTAAATCATGCATTACCTTAAGGACCCTAAACTATGGGAATTATGGTATATTCCTTCTTATGAGTAATGCAGGAGTTATATCATCAACCGTATCATCCCTGCAAGCATAGCCCCTTTTTCAGGCCACCTCATATGGGTAGTTTTCTAATTTAGCGTCCCTCTTTGGGTCCCCAATATAGTACGGCACCCTGATAAAAAGGACACCAAAAGGGACCCTAATTTAGAACTACCCATATTCTTCTTCTAAGATCCTAAGCATACCACAGATCACTTATCCCTGAGTAAAGGTACTGCAACCCCGGGTCTATGCAACCCAGCACCTGAGCAACATGTCGCAACGTCTTCACTCAACTTCCTGTGTATCGGATTCATGAATACAGTGTTGATTGCGAATAGGGTATATTGCAGTATAGATACAACAAGGAACCGTGAGGAATAAGTTCAGTTAGCCATCTTGGCCGCTAGGCCCCTGCATTATCCCCTGCATGTCAACTCCTATAAATCCAAGTTCCGAAAGGGAGTGTCCTGTTGAACATGATGTTATGGGGCTGTCGGCTTGCATTCTATGTGGATTGTTCCGGCATAGGGGATACCCTAAACGAGTTTAGTCACTAAACCCTAAGCCTTAACTGTGATACCGGAGCTTTGCGCGCTGAGCTTCCCCTTGAGGCGACCTGCTGCGAGTGTGCCGATGATCACATGGTCCAGGATGCACTATGCCAGTCGGGTTTGGGGTGCAGGTTGTTTCATCCTGAAATCCATGAGACGCTGCTTATCTTACCTGTGTAGTTCTGCCGGTCTGATGCAGCTATTGCTGCAACGACGACGACGACGAAGCCGGCGACGACGACGACCACGGAACTCCTGTTACTGTTTTGCGCATCCCATCGACGATTCTGGAGTCATGAAGCTGTTGTTTGACTGACATTCACTGAGGCGAGGATGAGAAACCCTTACCCACGTACCGGTAAGATGCAGAGATTCGAAACCCTTTAAGCACAAAGCCAACGCACACGATGCACCCCTGGTGCCCCAGGGCCCATCTATCGACCTAACGCCTCGCCCACAAATATGATCAGCCGAAGAGACCCTGCAGCACGTCCATACCTATTATGAAAATCCTTAGCTGTAGAGGCCCATTTTGAGGAAGCCCTCGAGATATCCATCCCCTCCCCTCCCTGCAACAGCATAATTAAATTTGCAACAGCATCAAGGCCACTTGAAACCGTAGACAAAAACCCTAAACCCTAAACCCTAAACAGTTTCTGAGCTCGGCCTTCTAAACTCGGGGCGGCAGCCTTCGAAAGGACTTGAGGCCAAACATACATAGATCGTAAGCCCTCACAAATCTCCAAAGCTCCTACCTCCAAGAGCTTTCCTAAAGTCATAAAGAAAGACCCGAAATAAGAATCGTAACAGCACAAAGCCCTCACCAGGACTGGATGTCCGCCCCGGTGCTCAAATGCATGCCGTGCCCAGCAGGGCATCAGCCCCTCGAGAATCGAAGCGGATGCCCCTGGGACTTCTTACCAGCGTTTACGGTTTAGGTTTTCACTTCTTACCAGGGTTTGTCACTTGAATGTAGAACCCTGGTGAACCCTGACGATCAAACCCCCTCCAGTACCTGCACAGGGTTTTTTAGTTGCAGCGCTCTCACGGAGAAGCCCGGCATAGAATCGTCAGTGGCTGAATATCAGACGCTTAGACACACACCAACAGTCGAGAGAACTAAGGGTCTGCAATGCTGGGCTGCAAAGTTCTGCTGCCTTCGAATAGTGTACGGCGTCGGAGTAATTAGCAATAGACTTCCCTCGCAGGCCTTATAAAGGTTATCGCATGCTTCCCCCCCAAAAGAAGCCCACAAGTAAAGAATGCATTAAAGCGCTAGATTACCAGACTCTGGCTTAAGCCCTAAACCCGCAGCCCTCATGAACCCGAAGCCCCTTTAAACATCAGATGCGCCCCTAAACCCTAAACCCTGAGCCCTAAACCCTAAGCCCTAAACCCTAAACCCTAAGCCCCAAACCGAAGCCCTACGCCTTAAACCTTAAACCCTAGACCCAAACCCTAGACCCTAAACCCTATAAGCCCTATAAACCCTAAACCCTAAACCCTATAGACCAAGGCCGACTCTGCCGGGCTGGATATGTGGCTCCCCGTGGCTCCTCGCAGTGCAAGCCCTGCTTCCCCAACTTCGTCCCTCGGCCTCTACTTCGGGTTCTGGGTTTAGGAAGGGTTCTCGGTTTAGAAAGGTTCTGGGTTTAGAAAGTTCTGCGTTTAGGGTTTAGGGTTCAGGGTTTAGAGTTCAGGGTTTATAGGGTCCAGGGTTTCTGGTTTTAGGAGATAGCGTGGCAAGGTCTCTGGGGTTTGGGCTGTTTTTGGGGATCTATAGGGGTTAGGGTGGCAAGGTCTGTGGCGGGGTTCAGAGCTTGAAGGTTTGAGGGTTCGAGTTTTTGGGTTTTTCGGGTTTGGGGTCTCTGGGGTGTAGGGTCTGAGAGATGACCCCAAAGTACCCACTTCCCCAAATAAATCCCGACGCAAGCCAAGAACGTCCACAAGGCATGCTGGGTACAGTTCTGGGGGGATATTCTCCCAAATCATGATAAGGATTCCTGGTAATATCGAAGCCCTGCATTCTACTTTACAGGTGCTTTGGACCCTTTGGGATAGGAAACCCTCACTTGGATGGCAACTCTCCCAACTTCAGAACCCTCAAGTTCGAGCAGTCTCTAGTTAAGTTCTGGTCACCGGTTCCGGTTCTGAATATATCTACCCACCCAGGGACTGCAGAACCACCGAATTAAGGAATATACCTAAGACACCAGAACAAGGACCCGCCCTGTAACTTAAGTGTTACTGTATGTCTTCCTGAATCAAGATGGTTTTGGAGTCTCGCGGCTCCTGGTGGATCGTATATTATAACTTGAGGACAACTTGCCAGTGTATATTCCTATACATGTCACCAGAATACATCTTAAGCTAGCTGCTAGCTATGTACATTACGTCATCACTTTGTGTGCCACCTGCACATAGTGTTGAGATCCATAGCTCAAGTATCATGCTACTATGAATATTAAGCTTCTCCGAATCGACGACCGCACCATCCAGTTAATTTAGATGACCACATCGCAGCGCGCTCTGTTTTGAGGGTTTGACATGATAGCAGTTTTGCCATCCTTTGCTGAATCGGGATAGTCTGTTGAAGTTCACAGAATCATGTCCGGCCGGAAACGAATTAGACGAAATGATGATTTATTTCCGACCGGAAATTGGTCAACCCAGAGGCTTAGAGACTTGTTGTTTCAAATACCCTATCATAACAAGAAACGCCTTAACATGCAGCGCGTCTGTCGCCTTGGACGCCCTAAACATCCCTGAAGCCTAGCCCCACCCCAGAGCCTAAACCCCAAACCCCTTAAGCCCCAAACCCTATAAAAACCTAAACCCCAAACATGGAAACCTCAAACTCTACACCCTACAAACTCGAGCTCTAAACACCAAACCCTTGAGCCCTAAACCTTGAACCCAAACCTTACATACCCTCAGGCCTGAGCCCTTAAACTTCAACAATAAACCCTAAACCAAATCCTTTTCGGTGTAGCCCTAAACCCAGCAGGTGCCGAGCCAAACCCAGGAATCTTGCGTGGCGTGCCCCAAGAAACACGGCTGGAGAGGGCTTGGGGTTCGGGGCTTCGGGCTTGTGTTTTGTTTCGGGGAGGGGAAGGGGGGGGGGGGGGG